GAAACTCGGTGGAAGATTTCCTGTTCCGGCTCGAGTTCCTGCAGCGGCAGTACCAGTGCCCTTGGCAGGAAGTGCTCCGCCATTTCCATGTGCTGCTAACCGGACGGGCACGCGAGTGGTATTGGGTCCACGTGCGTCAACGTAGGGTGGAGAGATGGCCACAGCTGCGTGCTGCGCTGATGGACAGGTTCCGAGGCCACCAGACGGAGCACGACCGGATGCATCAGCTTCTGCAGAGGGAACAGCAGCCGGGAGAAGCCGTTGAGGACTATGTCCATGCGATGCAGCAGCTAGCCTCTCGCCTAAAAAAACCACTGTCAGAGCGACAGATGGTTAAAATAATTAAAAAGGGCTTGAGAGAGGGTATTGCAAGATTTGTTTACGCAATGGATGTGATGACTGTGGACGAGTTGAGGGAAGAGTGCTGCGAGGTGGAGCGCAATTTTGGACGACGAGGACGCGCGGCCTATGCGCACCCGATGCGTTATCCTCCGGCGGAGAAGGCCAGGGTTAGCGAGGCAGCTGGTCCCGACACTGCAGAGGATTCCCAGTGGCAGGTGGAGGAGTTACAAGCGAAGGCCCGAAATCCGTTCCGAGCGGGCTGCTGGAATTGCGGAGCCGTAGACCATGGTTTCCGTGACTGCGCGGCAACAGAACGGCGCCTGTTCTGCTACCGATGCGGAAGGCCAGACACTGTGTCTCCGAGATGTCCGGATTGCGCGGAAAACGGTCGGCTGGGCGATCCGAGAGCGGGAAGGATGCGTCCAGACAAGAGTCCCGCGATGCAGTAAATGTTCTAGAATGTAAAAAAGGTTTAGTATGTACGAGTAGTTATAAGAACCATTTAAAATACTTACCTTATGAGGAAAGGATGCGTCGGTACCTGGAGACCAGGAACCGAATTTTCTCCGAGCACCAGTTAGCCGGCATGCGAACGGTGTCTAGGAAAGTCCAGAAGGCCAGGGATCGATTCCGTAAGAGACGAGCGAAGAGGCGAGAAGTGGTTGCCGCTGTGAAGCGCAGTGGAACGGGAGACCCTCGACCATTCGCTGAAGTCCGGATCCTGACCCAACAGCTGACTGGCTTATTGGACACGGGAGCTAGTGTCAGCCTGCTGGGCAAAGGTGGAAGAGAGCTCGTCGAGGCGTTGGATGTACCAATCCAGAAGTACCTGTCTGTGGTCCGAACGGCGTCTGGAGAGGATCGCACGATTATAGGACGCGTCGAGCTACCTGTGGAGTACCGAGGACAGATAAAGCGGATCCTGTTCTATGTATGTCCATACCTGGAGCAGGAAGCCTATTTCGGAGTGGACTTCTGGCAAGCGTTTGGCTTGGCTCCAGCGGTGATAGGCCCCAGCGACCCGGAAAGCGTCAAGGCAGACGAAATCCACGCTAGGGATATGGAGCACTACGCCGAACAGGAGGATGACGACGAGGAGAAACCGGATCCCGAATCCTGGACCTTATCCGGAGCCGACGCACGACAGCTCGCTGAGATCCAGGAGGTGTTTCTCACATTTGAGAAGGATGGTCTGGGTACGACGAATTTGGAGAAGCACACGATCGAGCTGATCGAGGGAGCCAAGGTCTTCAAGGATCGGCCATATCCCATGTCTCCAGCGAAGCAGAAGGTTGTCGAGGATGAGGTGGACAAGATGCTAGCGCTCGGAGTCATCGAGGAGAGCATGAGCCCGTGGAGCAACCGGACGACGGTAGTGTCGAGGCCTGGGAAAGATCGGTTCTGCTTAGACGCGCGCAAATTGAACGATTTGACCATTAAAGACGCTTACCCGCTGCCGAGTATCGACGGAATCCTGTCCAGAATCGACCAAACGTTCTACATTTCCAGCGTGGATTTGAAGATCGCATTCTGGCAGATCGAGTTGGACCCGAAGAGCAAGGAACTGACGGCATTTACGGTTCCTGGTCGGCCTCTCTACCAGTTCCGGGTGATGCCTTTCGGACTTTGCAACGCGGCGCAGCGGTTGGTGAGACTTATGGACCGAGTGATCCCAGCTGAGATCCGTTCCAACGTTTTTGTCTACCTCGATGATCTACTGATACTGGCTCCAGATATCCAGACCCACTTCAGGTACCTTCGGAGAGTCGCGGAATGCCTGAAAGCAGCGGGGTTAACGATAGGTATGAGTAAGTCAAAGTTTTGCTTCAAATCATTGACCTACCTGGGCTTTATCGTTGGTGGAGGTCGTCTACGAATGGATCCGGGACGAGTAGCAGCGATCAGGAGGATGCCAGAGCCTAGGACGATGAAGGAGGTGAGAGCGTTCCTTGGGACTGCTGGATGGTACCGCCGGTTCATAAAGAACTTTGCGACGTTGGCCGCCCCACTCACTGAATCGCTGAAGAAAACTGGAAATTCTAAGTTTTCCTTGAGTCCAGAGGCTCAGCTTGCGGTAGAAGCTTTGAAGATGGCTTTAACGACTGCACCAGTCCTGGTGCATGCGGACTTCAAGAGACGGTTCTTTATCCAGTGCGATGCGTCACACGTCGGAGTCGGGGCGGTGCTTTTCCAGCGAGACGACGACGGACAAGAGCAGCCAATTGCATTTTTCTCGGCCAAGATGAATAAACATCAGGTAAATTACACCGTGACCGAGAAAGAGTGTCTCGCGGCGCTCATGGCCATCCGGAAGTTCCGGCCATATGTCGAAGGGATGCCATTCACCTGCATCACGGATCATGCTAGCTTGAAGTGGCTCATGTCCATGAAGGATCTGTCGGGACGTTTGGCGAGGTGGTCGCTGCAGCTTCAAGGGTTCCACTTCAACATCGAGCACCGAAAAGGGAGTGAGAACGTCGTGGCAGACACCCTTTCACGGTGTGTGGAGGAGCTCGTAGTGAATCCGACGGATTTGTTGGGTTTCGAAACCACCGAGTTCGCTGGAGAAGGTTATCTCGAGTTAGTGAAAGATGTGGAAGACAACTTGGAAAACTTACCGGACCTGAAGATCGAGGATGGTCTCATCTTCAAGAGAGTCTCCTCGGCAAATCTGGACGATGAGGTGGAAGGTTCCGAGTGGAAACTGTGGATCCCACAGAGTCTGACCCACAGCCTAATCGAGCGTGCGCATACGGACCCAACAGCAGCTCATGGCGGAATGGGAAAGACTCTGGAAATCCTCCGACGGCAGTTCTACTGGCCAGGCATGGTTCTCCAAGTCCGCGAGTTTGTGCGTGGATGTGATGTCTGCAAGGAGTCCAAGGCGCCAAATTTCCGGATGCAGGTCGGTATTGGAGAAAGAGTCCAGACGGAACAGGCATTCCAGAAGCTGTATATCGACTTCTTGGGAAAATATCCGAGGTCAAAGAAGGGTCATGCCTGGATTTTTATCGTGGTAGACCATTTCTCCAAATTTGTATTCCTGAAGGCCATGAGGGAAGCTACATCCTCGAACGTCGTCGATTTTCTCATTCACGAGGTATTTTACAAATTTGGCGTCCCGGAGGTAATACACTCAGACAATGGACGGCAGTTCACGTCGAAGATCTTCCAGGAGGCGATGGAGAGTTTCGGTATCTCACACCTAAAGACTCCGGTATACTCCCCACAGAGCAACGCAGCAGAACGAGTAAATCGAAGCGTGTTGGCCGCAATCCGGAGCTTTTTAGATGGTGACGATCGAGACTGGGACGTCTACCTTCCTGAGATTGAGGTAGCCCTTCGAAACGCGATCCACTCGGCGACAGGAGAAGCGCCTTTCTTTACAGTGTTCGGACATCATATGTTCCTGAACGGCGCCAACTATAGGTTAGCGAGGAAGCTAAAGTCCTTGTGTGACCACGAGATGGCGGGCATGAAGACAGCGGACAAACTCCGAGTGATCCAGGAAAAGGTCCGAAAGAATCTGGAGACAGCCTATGACCGAAGCCGCAAGCAATATGACCAACGGGCTCGGAACTTCATGGCCAAGCCAGGTCAGGAGGTATACCGCCGTAACTTCGTCCTCAGTGACTTTGGAAAGTCATTTAACGCCAAGTTCGCCAGGAAATTCCTTAAGGCTCGAGTGGTGAAAGCCGTTGGTAACAATGCCTACGAGTTGGAAGACCTGCAAGGACGCCACCTCGGAGTTTACCACGCCAAGGATATCCGGAGGTAATCTGAAAAAAAAGGGTAATACAAAGTAAAGGAGTGCAAGAAAAACAAAGGCAGTACTTCCCGGCATGCGTGGGCCCCGCGTTGAGCACCGTATGGAACTGCAAGCTGCGTAAATGTCCAGGTTCCACTAGGAAAGGATCCAAATGCTCCCAATGATTTCGTCGAGTGGCTTGAAATCCGATGGCGTCTCTCTAAATCCTTGGGTGGTGTTGCATTTCAAGTTGGAACCGGCCGGGAGTAGATCGAAATCGAGGGCAAAAGCCTATCGATAAAAGTTGGTGGGTGGCAACGCCTACTGAAGTGGCGCCCCCTTCTGCTCATGCCCTTGGCTATCTAGCTATTTAAACTAGCCCGGTTCGCTCTGGGTATGGCTAGGATGGCCTTGGATTCGTCCAATGACCCACTTTTGGGAGAGGAAAAGGGAACATGGCGTGATCAGCATGACATTGCGTAGGTCAGGGATAGGGTTAGTTGCTGCCAGACATCGAAGCCATGTCGACGGGATTTTTATATTTCTTAGCTTAGAATAGGCCAAGAAAAAGTGAGTGCGATTAGTGCGAGTAAAGTTAGGAAATTAAGTGGAAATTTCTTTATTTTAGGTCCACCGGGGACCCTAGTACATAGGGCCCCGGCAGTTTCTGTGATTTTCTTCGGTTTTTTTTTACAATTTTCTCGGAGGGAGGGCAGCAGCCCTCGTGGTAGTGCTCAGCGGCAACAGCCAACGGCAGCAGCAACAGCCACCGGCAGCAGCAACAGCCACCGGCAGCAGCAACCGCCACCGGCAGCAGCAACAGCCACCGGCAGCAGCAACAACCACCGGCAGCAGCAACAGCCACCGGCAGCAGCAACAGCCACCGGCAGCAGCGACAGCCGCAGGCCGCAGCAACAGCCACAGGCGGCAGCCACAGCCACAGCCATCAACACCAACCAACACCGCCGCAGGCAGTTGAGCTTATATACATTACCTCGGTGAGTCCGTTCCGGGCACGTAGAACCCGAGCCGCACTACGCCTCGAACACGACGCGACTCCCAAACAACGCAGCATCTCCGACGTCACGGTCTGCAGTGGCCGGGGCAGGGCGTAATACCGGTTTCCGGACCGCCACGTCCCTTTATAAGGGTCCCAAGTCGTCCTTCGGCGACCCGCAGCCGGCTTTCTCGCCGCACCTGTGGTTAGATTTTAAGATTAATTTTTGTATTTGTAAATTTGTGTACTCACCCTTGTCCGTTTCTGCACGTCTTCGTGATTCCGCGAGCTTGAGTCTGGCCTTGCGCTAACTCGGGGTCTGAAATTGCGAAAGCGGGCTTAGCAGAACTCAATACAATTTATTTATTTATATTTACCTGTCCCTTTTGTGTCCTCTTGGAGCTCCAGCAGGGTAACTAGGAGAAAAAAGAGGTGTTTAATTAATGACAGCCACTTGGCTTAAACTTTTCTGCGGGGCCAAATTTCCGATTTCAAGAAGGCCTTGCAGCTGGTGCAGTCCAGGCCGGGTAGTGGTTTTGCCCTGACCTGTAAGAAATGGTATAAAGAGGAGGGGATATACTTAACGTTTATATTTGGAAACCTTATGTATATATTTATAAATAAATGTACTTAGAATGGAGATAAAGATGATGTGGGCCTAAGGCAATTTCCAGCGGGGAGATGAACCGGTCGTAGTCTGGCCTGGCAGTGGCTCCGGCCTCGGAACATGGGTGGTGCCTCCCTCGCTACGCTAGGGGCACCACAGGAAGGGTGGGTGCGCTGTGGCAGCTACATCCAATGCCACTTTTCCGTCATATTTGTCCCGGTTTGTTTATTTTGTCTTGTTTACCTTTTTTTTGTTATTAGAGATGTTAGTATTTGTAGTGTGAGACGTCGATAGTAATCGATATTTAATGTTGTGGGGCTGTAGGGACATTGGGGGAACTCCGCCCTGAGGATTCCGGAGCTAGCCGGGGCCGTCCCAGGGAGAACAATATGCAGTTCCATAACATTTTATATATATTTAAAATTTATTGGAAATATTGGCTATTGGCTTTACTAAAGATATTTTATATATATTTAAAATTTATTGGATATATTGGCCCAATTTTCGTGGATGTTTTGTAAATTTTTGTCCCGGGGTGCATTTCTATGGGGCGGAAAGGAAGGCGTGGCCCGATCGGCACAAAATTTTGTCCAGACTTCGCATATATAGTAACTATATAGTGTGCCAAGTTTCAAGTCTGTAGCATCATTTTTCTAGTTTATGCAAAAATATTGGTCATTGGGACCAGTGTGCAATGGGACCCAGGCACGGCCCCCAAAGACGGGTATGCTGAGTTTGCGTCTAGAAACACTAGGTTGATCCAAGAATCATCTAAGAGTTCTACCGACTGTTTATTACTCTTCATTAATGTTAACTTATATAAACCCCGAACCATGATACAATAACATAAGGTAGTCTCGTCGGCTGTCTGAACGTTCGGGTTTTGGTCAGGGCGTGTTCTTTTTTTTGAAGGAAAAGGTTGTCTGCGGACGAATTTTTTACAGAATTAACCCTTGAGCAACATGACTTTTTGCAATGTGTGCCGTTGAAAAAATAAAACAAATAGAACTTATATTTATACACTACATTGACGATAATTTTAAATTAAAAAAGAATGTAAAAGAAACTTTAATAATCGCAGCCGAAAATGTTAGTATAAGTTTGGACATAAAAAAGATTTATCTTAAGATTAGAACATATTTTAGAATTAAGAATCTTAACAAAAGAATTAGCATTCAAAGACAAAAACAACGCCTAATTTCAAATTCCAAATTATTAAAAATTAAATTATAAAAAAAAATTAAAATCCTTTTATTATGAAAGGCAAAAAAAAAACCCCTGAGCCATCTAATTAATCCTCACATTCTATTGTCGCTCTGCTCGCACTTACTAAACAGTTCCCATTTCACTCGCACTCATTGTAATAATAGTACATAGAGGTACCAGATTTTGCCGACGAGACTACCTTATGTTATTGTATCATGCCCCGATGGCTTCATTAATGTCAATTCTGACACAAACAGCTTGGGACACTCAAGTTCCGAACGCGCTGTCTACGATATTTCCGACAAAGATGAATCAAACAGTTTGGGACCTTCAGATTCCGACCACGCAGTAGATGTCAAGCCCGACATAAACAAAATAAACATTTCAGGAGATGATAATATAGGTAGCAACGTTGACAATACCCTCGACATTTATAATTTAGAAAACACTACAGACGAAACATTAATAACAAATTATACAGCAAAAATATTAAATACAATAAAAAAAGTACACTCAGAATAAATACGAATTTTCCTTTCCGGATAGATGTTTGATGCGAGATAGACACAATTAATGACAAACCAATTTATTCAAGACAGTACCCATATTCACAAGCAGTAAATGGGTTTGTGAATCAGGAAATAAGTCGCATGCTTGAAGACGAAATCATTAGACCCAGCAAAAGCCCTTATAATTCGCCTATGATTGTAGTATCAAAGAAATGTACTAATGAAGACGGCACCCCCAAACACAGACTCTGCATTGATTTTAGAAAATTAAACCTCAACACAATTCCGGATAGATACCCCATGCAGGATCCGTCAGTTATTTTATCATACCTAGGAAAGGCTAAATATTTTAGTACGATAGACTTAGAATCAGGTTTCCATCAAATCTTATTGAAAGAATCAGACGTCGAAAAAACTTAATTTTCCATTAACAACGGAAAATACGAATGCCATTCGCGCTTACAAATGCGCCCAGAATATTCCAGAGAGCAATGGACGATAACCTAGAGAACATATTGGAAAATTCTGCCATGTTTACCTGGACGATATAATTATTTTTTCTCACTCCTGTAAGGATGTTTCTACGGCTGAAATGGAGCTTGGCCAGACGCGAACGAGTAATAACCGTCACGTGCGTGCCGGAGGAGGCACAGTATGGGGATTGGCCCGTACCACTGTGTCAACTCCCGCCGCCTGGGGCGCTGTTTCACGCCCACGCAGAGGAATCGTCTCTAAACATGGACAGAATTCAGCGCTCCCAGTTCTGGGACAGGCTCCCACTGTTCGGAATGGGTGTGCGTCGGTCGAAACCGAGACGGAAAGCTATGCAAGCGGAAAGAAAACCCGTACTTGCACGCCTTCACGTCTCTGCACGTGGTTGCTACCAAAGTCCAGTTGTGCAGAGGAATCTTCTCGAAAACGCAACCGGCTTGGCTTGGGCCACAGTTTGGCACACGCGGGTCGGGTTTGGGTTACTTGGGGCTTGGGTGCGTCGACCGGAATCGAGACGGAAAGCTATGCAAGCGGAAAGAAACCCGTACTTGCACGCCTTCACGTCTGTGCACGTGGCTGCCACCAAGGTCCAGTTGCGCAGAGGAATCTTCTCGAAAACGCAACCGGCTTGGCTTAGGCCACTGTTTTAGCAAACGCGGATAAGGGCTTTAAGGGTCAGGGAAGAAATAAATCCAACTCGGTGTATGTTCGCTGTTCTTATTGTCCGTGTTTTTGTTTTATTTTTCTTGGTTATCTTTTTGGGCTTTTCTTCCTCTTTTCTATATGTATATTTTCCCTATCCGCACTTTTTTCTTTCCCTGTGTCTCCCTATCTCTCTCGCACTCTACTCACTAGGGTCCTTCGTCCTGATCCTTGATGTCCTGCTTGTCCTTGGTGTCCTTGCGTGGTTTTTCTCTGCTTCGATGTTTGGACTTTGACTTGTGGCGAATGAAAAAAAGAGGGACTGGCAGCCGCCGGGCTTATATAGCCAGCCGGGCTCTCGCTTCTCAACACTGGAAACGTGCGTAGATCGCCTAATCCGATCGTGTGTAGATCGCCTAACCCGCTGAGTAGAGCGCCTGATCAGCTGAGATCCTAATTAACACACTAAATAACGCCTGTTTGAACTACTGGCTAACGTTGAAGTTTGAACTTAACGGCTCTTTTGGCTTCTTGCCTGTATATCTTAAATTTACTCGCTGGATGTGGGGCAGCTTTTACGATGCCTCACACCCCCCCACATCGGGGTGGCGAAGCGAGATGGCGATGCCGCGTCGGGCCGTGATTGTGACGCGGAATCGGTGTTCCTGGTGGTGCCGCAGGAAACGAACGTCCGTGCGGTCGTGGGCCTCCACTTACTCCACGATGGCGCGGGGGTATGACGCTCGTTCGTGTCCACCCTCCATGCTGCCGGTGCGACGATCCAATCATACTCGTCGAGGAGTTGCTCTACTCCCGGGTGCTCCCGTAACGCTTGCAGGAGTGCGTCTTCCTCTGGTCCGGCCGGGAAGAGACCCAGGTCTAGGATATCGGCATCCTCTGTGTCGTCGGGCCATGTTCCGGTCCCGCCGGGTGCGGATCGAGCCAGCGGCTCATCTCCACTCTCGGGATGCTGCTCCCTGGAGTGGGCGGGATTAGTGTCTGAGGGCTCTCAGGGGAGGCGGGCAGTGGCGTTGTTTGCTTGTCCTCCCGTTCTGGGTGCCGGTCTTGAGCTCTCAAGCTTCCAACTTTGGGGATTCCCCTTCCCGGGGCAGCTGGAAGTGGCTCGTTCTGGGCTGCGGTCGTCTGGGGACTCGGGGTCCTGGCTTCGGCTTCTTCTGGCTGCGTTTCCCGCGTCGTCGGGCAGTCCGGTGTGGGATCCGTCCCTTCCTCGCCTTCGTCCATCTGGTGCGGCTCGACAGCTACGGCCTCCGCGTCGGCGTCGTCGCTCAGGGATCCACTCACCGAAGGTACCCATAAACGAGGCTCCGGTGGCATCGGCTTCCCGTGGGGCGGTCGAGGCGGTGGGGGTGCGAGGCTGTGCTGCACTGGAGCACTGGAGAGGCACGGGTGGGCCTCCAGTCGCGAAGCGTCCATCCTCTCCAACTTACGAGTCGTCTGTAGCCGGTGCCGGTTACCCAGGCACGACCCTACGACTCTCCTCAAATCCCTCAGCGAATGCCTAAGTCGCCACGCTCTCCAGCCAAGCGGTCACTAGGTAGCAGGCCGTGCTGTATCCGACTGCCGGGGATCCCGCGACGTTTAACCGTGCCAGCCTCGCTGTAGTCAGCCCCCTGGTTTCGGGCTCGTCATCTCGAGCTGGCGGCTCCTCCTCCTGTCTTGGTTGTCCGTTCGATCCACTGCCCACCTCGCATTCGTACGACGGGTCGCGGAGGATGGTGGACTAAGAGTCGGCGTCTCCGTCGCAGGCAAGAGGTGGAGGCGGCGGTGTCTCGGCCGGGTCGAACGGCGACGACGCGATGCGCTCCGCGTGCTCCGATAGCACGGAGTCGGTGCTGATGGTGACGGCTGGTGGTGAGGGAGAGCAGGTGGATTCGCTCCATTGGCGGTACTCGTACTCCTCGTTTTCGGACATGGTGACGGTGTGCTAGTAAATGTAACGTATTAGCCTAGGTCTTATTGTGTGAATCCTACCTATAGTGCGGCTTGAGATACTTATGGTTCTAGATTACAAGTTCAGAGTTCTTAGCTTACTTGGTGGC